CTGGTGCTGTTTTCACACCCCCTACCTCAGAATGCCCAGCTGAAGCCCACCTCTCTCTCTACCCCTCTATCTTCTGGGTACGCAGTGGCCCAGATGCGGCCAGCCTGTGAGCAGATCTACAACCTGTTCCATGCGGCTGACCCGTGTGCCTCGCGCCTTGAGCCACTGCTGGCCCCCAAGTTCCAGGCCATTGCTCCACTGGCTGTGCCCCGGTATCAAAAGTTCCCCCTGGGAGACGGCTCATCTCTACTACTGGGTATGCCCCTAGCCATGATAAAAGGGGAAAGGAAGAAGACACCAGCAGGGAGGAAGGGGTTAGTAGACGGTGTGAGGTGCTTCCCACATTATGGGAAACCTCTTGTTACCACTCCCAGGACCAGGGAGCCCTGCCCTGCTCCCTTGTGGGGGTCTGGATCCCCAGGACCCCCTGACCTGAGCCCCAGAGTGAGTAGGGGACAGGTTAGCTAAGCTAAGCTAGAGAAAGAGACTAATCTAAGGAGGCAGGCAGAGTGACACTGGTGTACCCATGTCTGAGAGCAGCCAGTGTGTGTGTAGAGGGGTGCACTGTGTGTCTTAATGGGGGCCATGTGCGGGCATGTGCTGAGGCAAGAGAATTGCTTGAGCCCAAGAGTTTGAGGTTGCTGTGAGCTGTGATGCCACAGCTCTCTACTGAGGGCGACAAAGTAAAACTTTGTCTCAAAAATTAAAAAAAGGCACCCTAGCCCCACCTGCTACTGAGTCCACCCCTCCTATCCCAGCTGACACACTGCAGACCCACTCAGGCCTCTTTCTGGAGGAGCTGGAGATGGTGCCCTCAACACCCACCTCGGCCAGTGGTGCCTTCTGGAAAGGCAGTGAGTTAGGCACTGAGCCCCCAGCCCAGCCAGCCGCACCCAGCAGCACCAGTGAGGTGGTTAAAAGTAAGTCAGCTGGTCACCAACCTCAAGGGTAGGAGGAAGGGGCCCTATTCCATCTCCCAAGCCCAGCCGAAATACCCTTTCCCCAGCATTTGCCCTGGATTCCACCCCCAGCACCCAGCCTGGACTTGGCAAAGAAAGGCCTTGGCAGGAAAGGGGGGCGGAGAGCATCCAGGGGCCAGGCAGATGGGCACTGGGCAGGAGGCCCTCCTGACTCGCTGCTCACTGCGCTAAGCAGTCCTGGAGCGATGGTGGGGGACCAAGCGGATCGACTACTCTCTGTACTGCCCTGAGGCGCTCACCGCCTTTCCCACCGTCACGCTGCCCCACCTCTTCCACGCCAGCTACTGGGAGTCCGCAGATGTGGTCGCCTTCATCCTGCGGCAGGTGGGCTTGGGGACATGAGACTAGGATGGGGAGCCAGGATAGGGGCGGACCCCCTCCGTTCATGTGGCCTCTCATGTGTCTCCCACAGGTGATTGAGAAGGAGCAGCCACACCTAGCGGAGTGTGAGGAGCCGTCCATCTACAGCCCAGCCTTCCCCAGGGAGAAGTGGCAGCGCAAACGCACGCAGGTCAAGATCCGGGTACGTACAGGAGGCTCAGCGGGTCTCCTCTCCAAACCTCTTTCCCGGTTCTGCCCCCACTCGTTGCTTCGGCCCCACCCCTGGGAACCACGGGTCTCCTCCTTCTCTGCCCTCGTCCCCGCCCACGCTCGTCACCTGCATACTATCCTGTCTGGGCTTTGCAGCTGGGAGCCACAGGGGTCCATAGCAGAGCACGCCCTAGGCTCTGCCCAACTTACCTGCTTCCCACCCCACCCCCCCACCCCCACCCTAACTTACCTGCTCTCGGCTTCTGGTCATGCTGTCCTCTCCCACCAGAACGTCACCTCCAACCACCGGGCGAGCGACACGGTGGTATGCGAGGGCCGCCCCCAGGTGCTAAGCGGCCGCTTCATGTACGGGCCTTTGGACGTGGTCACACTTACCGGGGAGAAGGTCAGGACACAGGGGCCCCGACCTTTGGTCTCACAGCCCTGCCTGCTGCCCCCAGAATAGCTCCTGGCCTTCTACCTCACCTCCAACCCCCAACAATAGCCTCCCCTGTCCTCTACTTTGGGCCAGGGGGAACCTGAGAGCTCTGCCACCGTGGACCTTTCCGTCACCTCTTCCCGCCAGGTGGATGTCTACGTCATGACACAGCCACTGTCAGGCAAATGGATCCACTTTGGCACCGAGGTCACCAACAGCTCAGGCCGCCTCGCCTTCCCAGTGCCCCCAGAGCGTGTGCTCGGCATCGGTGTCTACCCCGTGCGCATGGTGGTCAGGTGAGCACGGTGGGCATCTGCGAGGCGGGGGTCCCCAAGTCTTGCCTCCAAGCCACTTACCCTCTCCGCCCCCACCCTCATCCGCAGGGGCGACCATACTTACGCTGAGTGTTGCCTGACTGTGGTGGCCCGTGGCACGGAGGCCGTGGTCTTCAGCATCGATGGCTCCTTCACTGCCAGCGTCTCCATCATGGGCAGCGACCCCAAGGTGCGCGCCGGCGCCGTGGACGTAGTCAGGTAGGAGCCACCCCAGCCCTGGCTCCTCTTGGTGACTGGTCCCCACCCCTGCCCCATGGAGCTGACCACCACCCCTATCCCATTAGGCACTGGCAGGATGCCGGCTACTTAATCGTGTACGTAACGGGCCGGCCTGATATGCAGAAGCACCGCGTGGTGGCCTGGCTGTCACAGCACAACTTCCCCCACGGCGTAGTCTCCTTCTGCGACGGCCTCACTCACGACCCGCTGCGCCAGAAAGCAATGTTTCTGCAGAGCCTGGTGCAAGAGGTGCGGCGGCAGGGGAGGGTCACGGTCCTGACACCAGCCTCACCCTTGCTCTGCCATAGAACAGCAGAGGCCCATCTGGTCCCACCCTTAAATACCCATCCCCTCTATCTTGCCGCCTGGCCCTAAGTGACTAGAGGGTTCCCTAAGGTCCTGCCCTCTTAGTCCTAACCCGGGAGATCTGCCTGGCCCCGCCCCAGTCGGAGTAAGCGACTGGAACCTTTAGACCGGTATGTACTGCCTCCCTCCAGCCGACCCCTCCCCCAAACAATGTAACTGGGGAAGCCCAACAGTCCCCTTCCCCTGATGCACGCCCCTGTGGCGCTGACAGGCCTCTTGGCCACAGGTAGAACTGAATATCGTGGCTGGCTATGGATCTCCGAAAGATGTGGCTGTGTACGCGGCGCTGGGCCTGTCCCCGAGCCAGACCTACATTGTAGGCCGTGCTGTGCGGAAGCTGCAGGCACAGTGCCAGGTGAGGGCTAAGTGAAGGTGAGGAACAAACAGGACGGTGCCAGGGAACTGGAATCTGAGTCGTAAGCCATAAGGAACATACCAATTTGGGTAGGTGGGACAAGGCCTCACTGGCCACTAAGAACCTAGACTTCTCCTAGAACAAGGGCCATGAGCAGCATGGAACTGCCCACTGGTGCTAACCCAGGCTAGAGGGTGGGTGTTCATGGCCTTGAGTGTTGCTGGTTCCACTCTGCTTTGAGCCTTGGCCTTTCTGAGCCTCCATTTCCTGTCTGTAAATGGAAATAAGAGTACTGACCTCATCAGCTTATCATAAAGGCCCCATGGTTGACTGCACATAACAGGCTCAGGGCTGGACACAAAGCAAGTGCTCACTAACCATCAGCCACTGTTGGTTTCCCCAAGACCCCAATGAGACTGAGACCCAGAGAGGGGCCTGGGCAGGAGTAAAGCCAAGGTACCCTGACTCCCAACCTGGAGTTCCTCTCTCTGGGGAAAAGGCTCCAGGTCAGGCTGTGCTCAGCCAGCACTACTGGCCCACACCCTGCTTCAGGTGCAGTGGACAGGGAAGGACAGTGTGGGGGCCTGGTCAGCACCCCTCATCCCTGTCCATGTCCCTACCCACAGTTCCTGTCAGATGGTTACGTGGCCCACCTGGGCCAGCTTGAGGCAGGCTCCCATGCTCATGCCTCCTCTGGACCCCCGAGGGCTGCCTTGGCCAAGAGCAGCTATGGTGTGGCTGCCCCCGTGGACTTCCTCCGCAAACAGAGCCAGCTGCTGCGCTCCAGGGGCCCCAGCCAGGCAGAGCGTGAGGGTTCAGGAACACCACCCACCACTCTGGCACGGGGCAAGGCCCGAAGCATCAGCCTCAAGCTGGACAGCGAAGAATGAGGCCCAAACTGACAGGACCTGGGTTATTGAACACACTCAAGGGGCCCAAGCAGCTGTGTGTGGGAGGCTAGGGGCCCAGACCTTTAGCCCCAGCCCAGCTTCCCAGCCCCACACCCTCATCTTTGTCTGCCCCTCAGTATCACTTCCCTGTCATATTGGGGGAACCAGCCCTGGGGGGAGGGAGAGGGACTGGGCAAGGGCCTGAGGCTTTTTAAGTGTATGTAAATCCATGGAAATAAATGCCACCCACATCCTGCCCAACTGCCCACCTGCTGGCATCACAGGGCAGCTGAGCCCAGTTTGCAGTTCAGGAAGGAAGACACTGAGAGAGGCAGAGACATACCCAAGGCCACACATCAGGTCAGAGGCAGGGTTAGGATGGGGGCCTAGACTGCAAAACTTTTCACAGAAGACGCTGTCCTCTCCTCTTCCTGGGCCTATTCCTGGATAGTCAGCCTTCCTGACCCAACCCTCCTCACCTCAACCAGCCTTTGAGTGGCAGGAGTCACCCTCAGCCCAGATGTGGCATCACCTGAAACCCGTGCCTCTAGAAGCTGATTTCAAGGGACCACAGGGCCAGAGATGAGGGGCTGCCCTGAGAGACCACCTCACTCAGGCACCACGCTGCCTGGCTCCTGCCCACTTTATCTCCACCTTAAAGCCAGAGGCTCCTCATGCACCCCAGGCCTGGCTAGTCACTACCCCAGGACCTGACCATCTTCATTTCTCTGTCAGGGACACTGAGAGCTCTCAGAGCTGGTGGATGGGGAGCTGGGATTAGAACCTTGATCCTCTGGCTTGTCCCAAGGGCTACTTACTCAAGCACCAAGAAATGCCAGGTGATGGCTTAGCTCTCCCAACAGACTAGCTCAGCAGACTCAGAAGGAGATAAATAAGGCCTTTATATACAGAGAAGCACGAAGGGGCAGAGGTGGGTGGGCTGGCAGCAGCACACGAAACTTGGCAGGGTAAGGCAGAGCCCAGTGGTCCTGTCAGTGGGAGAAGATGCCCCGAAAGCGGGCCTTGTCCTCCTCGTCCTTCTGCCGAATCCGTGCCTCTAGGGCTCGCAGCTCTCGGCTCACAACAGGTGCCAGGGCCGGGTCCAGCTCCAGCACCTTGGCAAAGTCAGCTTGGGCCTCCTGGGCATTCCACACAGCTGCATGGGCCTTGCCCCTCTTGAAGTAGGCCTTGATGTTGTCTGCAGAGAACACCAGGGGGTAGTGGGCACGTGAGGGCATTGAGGGGTACCCACCAGCTACCTGGCTTCACATTTCCTGGCACCAGCAGGGGAGAGAGCCCTGCCTGACCTGAGGCTGCCCCCACTCCACTCCCTGGTCATGCTCTACCAGAAACATAGGGCCCACCCCTGTGGGAGCTCAGAATAGGGGTGTCAAAGGCTAGGTCTTGAACCCCAATTCACAGTGGTGACAGGGAGGAGCAGGCAATTGTCTAGCTGCCCACACCCCCAGCCACCTGCACCCAGCGCTCACCGTCATACTTGTTGAGGATGGAGGAGCAGTGGTCCAGCACCTCATAGTACTCCTCGGCCACCAGCTTGCACTGACAGTAGTTGAGCAGCAGCGGAGTGATCTGCTGGTCTAGCTGGATCCAGTCCGGGGACCCAGGCTGCTCCTAGGGGCACAGGGCACCAAGTAGGGAACAGCTGTTGAGACCTGGGGCTCGAGGTTAAGGTGACCAGATTTTAACATTGGTAAAGTGGGACACCACTGATTGGGGGGGG